TACTTCACCCAACCATTAAGGAAAGGCTCGGCCCGCGAAAGCACTGGCAGCAACAGAAAGGAAGGGGTTCATGTAGCTGCTGCACCCACCTCTTATGTAGAACCAAAAAAATTATACCAAAATCGGTAGGAGATATATTTCATAAAACCAATGAATATGGGGAGGCAATTAGGCTCATTTAAGGATGTGTGGGAGAAAGAGAAACAAATATCAACAATATATCATTAATCACACATAACAACAAGGGTCTCAAATTTCACTCTTCTAGACTAACCATAATAATATGACCCTCTATTTATAGACTAGATGACTTGAAAAACAAGTCTTAAACCACAAGAAATTTTTTAATAAAATATTAATTTCTAAACAATAAAACTATCATAATTTGACTCTAATAAAATTACTCAAAATTTAAGTCAGTGGTACGAGACAATGTTGAGAAATGTAGACGACTAATGTTGCAACATGCGGAGAATCAATCTATTGTAAATTATCTTATATACCATAAATTTACGTAAATTTTAGTAGACTATGTAAATCTTAGTGCTTCAATTTACTTATTTTGTTGGTTTTTTAATATAAATAAGAAATAAAAAGAAGGGCAGAAAAGAAAAAGAAGGGCAAAAAATGTCAAAAATTAGGACAACGCCCAAAAGAAATAATATAACAGTAAGCCAAAGCCCAATAGAAAAACAAGGGGAAAAAATCAAAGCAAAAGTAGTCTACCAAAATCAGAATCCCAGGAAGCAGCAATGGAAACCCAAGAAGCTAGCCAAAGCCCAAAATCGAAAAAAAGCCGAATAAAAAGAAAAGCCCAAAGCAAACTCAAGAAAGAAAGTCCAAAAATACACACAGGAAATTAATCAATGATAAGTGGCTTACAACAATTAAGATGCCAAAAAAAAAAAAATTGACTTCAGTTTTTTGTTCACAACAACCTTCATGTAATGCTTTCTGCAGTGATTAAAATTTTTATTTATGGTTGGTAGCATATGGTTTTCAAATAAATATAGTAAAACATGAACAAATAAACGTTGTCGGGGTTGGAGTATTAACATGAATGCAACATTGCTGCAAGCTTGTAGCTCTAATTCAAGTCTTATGGAGGTACAATTTATTTGGATTAATGAAGAATGCATTCATCTGAGCATTATAGAGAATCATGTAGTACCCAAAAGATTATATACTTACAACGTACTCCTTTTCTATGTGGGGTTGATTTTCGAAATGTTGTATGTACAGAAGATAGAGAAGGACAATATACACAAGGAAAAAAATCCTATAAAGTTAGTGGAGAGCTAGGATTCTTGAAGTTTGTTGGTCTGAATGTGGAAGCCTTAAGATACGAAGTTTGAGAATACAGTGTTGTTTTGAAGCTTGTTGTTGGTAGCTTATTGCATTTTTTTTTTTTAATGTTTTCCCTTTCCTTGAGTTTTAATATACCTGCTATTGACTACAAAAGCTTCGCCACATACCTAACCACCGCCTCTTACGTAGCCACTCCTATAGCTTCAGAACTAAACCAATCTAAAAATGCAACTCTTCCAGTCTTCGCCCTCAACCAGAAAATACAACCAATTGATCAAACTTAATCCAGACACTACTGGGACTGAATATCCAGCTTAAGATAATCTAAAAATGCTACGTGAAGAAGCGCTGAGCTTCCCCGGACCGAGCCGACCTGACGAGCTCGGCGTGCTGATGGAAGAGTTGGTTTCAGGCCTGCAAAACAAACAACAGGTTGATCTCACAAGGGGACCCCGAGGTTGTCCCCGAGGGCACTCCGACAATCAAGTTAGTTTTCCGGTGGATGAGGTTCACGGGAAGTAAAACAGTCGGAAGTCACTGGCGAGTAGTGAGCGTACCTTGTGTGAGTAGTGTGCGTTACCATTTATACCTTCTTGGGAGTCCGACCTCCGTACGTTTCGGGACTTGCCCGGCATAGCCCTTATCCCGCGCTGAGGGGGATTTCCTCCGACCTCTGCGGGATGGTCCCCTGCCCCTTCAGGAGCCCTAGCATCAGCGCGGCCCAGGACGGTTGCCAGGGGCCGAGGCCCAGCTCGGCCATACCTGGGCTGCCACGTGTCTAGGCCCAGGACGGGGCCTCTGCACTAACCCCCTAGATTAGGTAGGGCTGTCAGGCAGACCTAATCTACCCCTGCCACGTGGGAGGCCAGCGCCGTGCACTACTCTGCCAAGGTCACCTCTGGTACAGTACTGTCACAGGGATGCTGCGCCCGCGTCCTTTCAGTTGTCACGCTTCTTCGGTTTTCGTACCATCATTAAATGCGTTCACATGGGGGACGGTTCAAATTCACGCAACCGTTTCCCCCCACTTCACCCCTTATAAATGGGAGTCACCAGATTTCAACCGACTCCATTTGTCATTTTCTCTTTTCTTTGTGCATTCCCATTTTCCAGCGGCACAGCTTCTGGCCTTCGGTACCCAGATTCCGGCGACTTCTTCTTTCTTTTCCTGCTCCAGACATCAGTAAGTCTTTTCCCCTCCCCTTTTACCTTTGCATTTTCCTTTCCTCCGCCACCTCCAGCTTTTTATGTCGGATCATTCCGACGTTACTTCCACCGCATCCCAAATTCCGACCCGCCGTAGAGTCCCCCAGATTGTCATTTTTTTGTCTTCCTCCTCACCTTCTCCTTCTCCCCCCTCTTCTTCTTCTTCCAATCCTTACTTCCCCATTCCTGACTTACTTGAGCCCGTTGCTATCATGAGCTCTTCCTCTGCCCACTCTCCTTCAGCCCGGGACCTAGAGGAGGCGGCCGAGCTCAACGCCTTCATCGAGCAACGGGCCACCTCCGACCCTTCTCCCCTGTCTCCACATGATTCCCCGGGCGGAGCCCAGGGGGGAGCTGGGGAGGACAGGGATTCCTCCGAGGGGACCCCTGCCCCCGAGCAGGAGAATGATGCCGAGCTTGACTTCGGTCGCCCCGACCACGAAGAGGTCACCATCTCACCTGAGGAGGTGGCCGAGCTGGTCAGGTCCTTTTCTATCCCTCCGTCCTTCGAGCCAAGGGCTGCCGGGCCCAACGACGGAGCCAGCCGACCTCCCCCAGGCTTTGTGGCCATCTATAGGGAGCAGCTGATCGCAGGGTTTCGGCTCCCCATTCCTTCAGCCCTAGCCGAGATTCTGACCTATTAGGGGCTCAGAATCACCTAAGTTCACCCCAACTCGATCAGGATCATCATCGGATTCCTGATCTACTGTCGAATCTGCTCCATCCCCTACTCTCTCTCTCTCTTCCGGGCCGCCTTCATCCTTAAGCTCTCCCTCCCTGGATGGTACTACTTCTCCCGCCGAGGTGCCAGCCAAGTCCGGGGAGGGAAAGGCACCCAAGATCTGTTCTACGGGGTCCCCACCTCCGTGAAAGATTGGAAGGGGGACTTCTTTTTTGTCAAATCCATGCATTTTCCCCCCAATGTGTGGAAGGCTGGGGAAGTCAAGGCCGACCCCTACCCAGAGGATTTGGATTTCGAAACCCTCAGCCAGCTGGTGAGCTCCAAGGTGAAGCTCAGTGCCACCAAGTTCTCCACCGAGCAGATCTCTGCGGCCGGGCTGATGGGGACGTTGTCCGGGTCCCCTGGAGAGGTGGTGACCTCGCCTATCGACCTCGACGCCTGTAACGCCGATTTTGTCCCTGTAGCTTGTTGCATTTGCATGTATGACATATATTATTATCTCTCGACTGACCTGTTTTGGTTGACCTGATGATGTCCACTGCAGTGAGGAAGCTATCCAAGCTGCTAGGCGCGTCCACTGAGGAGGCTACCCCCACTCCTCAGCCAGAGGTGGCCAAAGAGGCCCCTAGGGCGGCTCCAACCCCGGGGGGCGGCCAAGCCCCCCAGAAGGAAGCACAGGACACCTCCTCCCCCTCCAAGAAGGCTGCCAACAACAAGAAGAAGGCGATCGGGCAGAAGAGGGGTCTAGGGGACGAGCCCTCCCAGCCCGGGAAGAAGCTCGCGCTGGTCCCAGCTCAGCCCCCTCCCCTCACACTGGCATCGGGGGGGCCAGTCCACCTGGGCGTTGGCTCTGCCGAGGAGCATGCCCGGGAGTCGCCTCCCCCGAGCTTGTGGCACTTCCGCCACATAGCCCCCTTGAAACCGGGCCAAGCCCTCGCTATGCACGACCCCCGCCACTTCTGTCCGTCCTGGGAGCTCTCCATCAATGACCGAGCCCAGTTTCCCGAGGTCGCTCGCGAGCTGATGGTGGGCTCGGTCCTCCCCCGCGATAGGAGGTGGATGGAGCTAGCCAACCCTCCCGAGCTCCTGGATGCGTATTACACCGCCCAGGCTCAAGTAAGCCCTCTAGCCCGTGGGTCAGTTTTGCCTCTGTGTTTTGGTTTGATAGCGTAACGTGCTGACCTGTTTTCCCTCCTCCTCAGGCCAACGCCGCTGGTGCTGCCCTGGCGACCCGCTTCTCCGAGCTGTCTCCCGACCTGGAGAAATTACGGAAGAAGAATCGGGAGACAGAGCAGAGGCTTACCCAGGCCCTTAAGGAGGTGGACTCCCTTAAGGCTAAACTGGGCAAGGCCGAGAAAGGGCTGGAGACGGCTCAAGTCCAGCTCGCCTCTGCCAGGTCGGAGCTCGACCAAGAGAAGGCCGGCGTGGCCAAGCTGAAGGAAGACCACGCCATCGAGCTCTCTGGCACCGTCAGCCGGGAGCGGAAGAAGGCTGTCCGGGAGTTCATCTCTTCCGAGAAGTTTAAAGAGGACATCGCCCTCCTTAACCTGCCCATCCTCCAGGTCGGCTCTACGCGAGCCCTGAACCAGGTGAAGAGCCTCAGCCTTCCTAGCTTCAACTTGGCGGACTTCAAGGACTACAATCCCGCGGCCGAGGATAGGCTGGACTGGCTCTTTGACGGGTACCGCAAGGGGCATGCCCTGAAGAACCTGGTGGGCCGAACCGACATTGGAGCAGAGCTGGCGGAGGTTCCCTTGGAGGAGGGCGAGTCTCCTGGCAGAGCTTCTGGGAAGGAGTCGATGGCCTAGGGCGGCGACCACTCCAGAAACCCTTTCCGTCTCCTTATAAGGATGTGACCATGCTCCAGTTGAAAATGCTCTTGAAGGTCCATCTGAGACGGAAAGGCCCCCCTGTTTCTGGGTTCCTGAATAGCCTTCACCATACGCCTCTCAACATGCTTAAGGTGTACCTTCAGCACCTGCTCCAAGCAGGTTACCAGCAAGAAAAAGAGTGTCCGAGCTGTCCTCCTTTTGTGGCTCGATAGACTCTGTAATAGAGAGGCGACTTGGAAGCTTTGTAATAGATAGGCGACTTGGGAGCTTTGTAATAGATAGGCTTTGAGTTCATATATGAAACTTGAAGGAAATTTTCTCGCAACTTTTTCCTGCACCCCACTGCAACAACCGAAGCCAGGCGCCGACCTCCTGGGTCGAGCACCAAAGGCATACCCCCGTTAGTCTAACAACTAAATCATTAGAGGCAACCAGCTTGTCGAAACCATGTGCCGACCTCCCGGGTCGAGCACCACGCCGTCCTACCAAGGCAACGTGCCAGCCTCTTGGGGCTGAACACCAAACCTTAAGGATTTTCCCCGCCGACCTCCTGGAATTTTCAGAATCCTTCAAAATTTTCCAGTCGTGCCGACCTCCTGGGGTCGAGCACTCCCGCACTCTCAAAGGCATCCCGCACATCCCGCATCCATTACTAACCCTTAGCCCCCCACTAGGACATTCAGTGAGGGAACGCTAAGTGTGCTAGTGTAAGATTCAAACTTAAAAGGCAAACAAGTACAAATGAAATTAAAGCTTGAAAGTCGAGCATTTATTGAATGATGAAATTGAAATTCGGATTCCAAAAAACAGACAACCGAACACCCTGGTCTAACCTACACTACAAACAGTCGCAGATTGGAGAAGTGCCAAGTGCGGGGTACCTCTGATCCATCTATTCTCGCGAGCTTGCAGTAGCCAGCTCGGCTCGTCTCAAGGACCTTGTATGGGCCTTCCCAGTTCGGGTCGAGCTTGTTGGAGCCATGAGCTCGGCTGACCGAGTTCTTCCTTAGGACAAGGTCCCCCGGCTGGTACTGTATGGTCCTCACTCTGGCGTTGTGATAGCGGGCGAGCTGGCTTTTGTACTTAGCCATCCGTACCGCCGCTTCCTCACGCTTAGCCTCCAGCATATCCAAATTGCACCTCAGCTCTTCCTCGTTGGATGACGCAACGAAGTTCTGTGTTCGGGGCGAGGGGAGACCAATATCCGCGGGTACCACCGCCTCCACTCCGTAAGTCAGAGAGAACGGGGTCTCGTGGGTGGTCGTCCTGGGCGTAGTGCGGTAAGCCCAGAGGACACTAGGGAGTTCATCCAGCCAGTTAAACTGGGCCAGTTCTAGCCTAGTTTTCAGTCCTTGGAGGATGGTTCGGTTGGCATTTTCCACCTGGCCGTTGGCCTGGGGATGGCCGACCGATGTAAAGTGCTGACTGATCCCGAGCTCGGCGCACCAGCTCTTGAAGGGGTTATCCGCGAATTGGCGCCCGTTGTCTGACATTAAGACATGCGGAATCCTGAAGCGGCAGACTATGTTCCTCCAGAAGAACTTCTGAATTGCCCTCCCAGAGATAGAGACCAGGGGCTCTGCTTCCATCCACTTCGTGAAATAGTCTACGGCCACCACGAGGTGCTCATATCTTCCCGGGGCTCGGGGGAAAGGACCCAGAAGGTCTATCCCCCATTGAGCGAAGGGCCAGGGACTGTGGATGGGGATCATTTCCCGAGCTGGCTGGTGGCGCAGTGGGGCGTGCACCTGGCAAGTTCAGCATTTATGTACCAGTTCTGCGGCATCTTGGAAGACAGAGGGCCAATAGTAGCCTAAGAGAAGGCACTTTTTGGCAAATACCCGGGACCCCACATGTGCCGCACATATCTCTTCATGGATTTTGCGAAGGACGTAGTCACCTTCCTCGGGAGTCACGCACTTTAGCCAGGGCAATAAGTACGACCTTCTGTAGAGGGTTCCCCCAGAGTAGGCGTACTTGGCAGCTCTGAGCTGGATCCGGCGAGTCTCGGTTTTGTTCTCAGGGAGGGCACCCGAGCTGAGGAAGTTTACTAGGGGGTCATCCAGGTGGCCGAGCTGTCTATAGCCAGGATGTGGACCTGGTCGATACTTTTCTGTTTGACCATCTCTACCAAAACTTCCTTGTTCAGGTGCGCAAACGAGGAGGATGCCAGCTTTGACAGGATGTCTGCACGCTTGTTTTGCGATCTTGGCACCCGCTCGATTTCAAAGGTATCAAACAGGGCTATTGCCTCCTACACCTTGGCCAAATATTTCTTCATGACCTCCTCCTTAGCCTCGTATTCCCCGCGAACTTGGAGGACGACGAGCTGAGAGTCGCTCCGGACTCTGATCGCGGTTATACCCATCTGGTGGGCTATCCGCAATCCTGTAAGTAGGGCCTCATACTCGGCTTCATTGTTGGATGCGGGGAAGTCGAAACGAAGAGCGTAGGTCAGCTCCTCCCCGGTTGGCGAAATGAGCAGCAAGCCAGCTCCGCTTCCTTCCTTACTGGAGGCCCCGTCCACGAACAGAATCCAAGGCTCTCTCGACCGCGCCCCACTGGGCGGAGAGTTCTGCTCGGTCATGGCCAAGCTAGCCCCCTCGGCGAGGAAGTCTGCCAAGGCCTGAGCCTTAATGGCAGTACGGGGCCGATAGCCGATGTCGTGCACGGCCAGCTCAACGGCCCATTTGGTCATCCTGCCCGAGACCTCAGGCTTGGTGAGTATTTGCCGTAGAGGCTGATCAGTCATGACGACGATGCTGTGGGCCTGGAAGTAAGGTGGGAGTTTCCGTGCCGCGAGCACCAAGGCAAGGACCAGTTTTCAGCCGGCGTGTACCGCGTCTCCGGCCCCTGTATAGCACGGCTGACATAATATATCGGCCTCTGAACCCCCCCCCCCGTCTTCCCGCACTAAGACCGCGCTGACGGCCTCGTTGCAAGCAGACAGGTACAGCAACAAGGTCTCCCCTTGCTCCGGGGCGGTCAGAGTGGGCAGCTCAGCCAGGTAGGCCTTCAGGTCGGCAAAGGCCCTCTGGCACTCTTCAGTCCATTGAAAGTCCATGGGGGCTTTCAGGATCAGGAAGAAGGGCAGCCCCCGGACCGCGGAACGCGAGAGGAATTTGTTCAGGGCGGCCATCCTTCCTGTGAGCCGCTGAACCTCCTTTACGCTCCTCGGGGGGGCCATGTCTATGATAGCCTGGAGCTTATCCGGGTTGGCCCGGATCCCATCCCGAGATACCAAGAACCCTAGGAACCTTCCCGACCTAACCCCGAAGGTACATTTCTTCGGATTCAGTCGCATCCGGCTCTCCCGCAGGATGCCCAGGATCTCCCTCAGGTCGGGGACGAGCTGCTGATCAGTCCGGCTCTTGATGATCATGTCATCTACGTAGACTTCCATGCTTATGCCGATCTGATTCTGGAACAGTTTGTTGACCAGGCGCTGGTAGGTGGCTCCAGCGTTCTTCAGGCCAAACGGCATAGTCCGGTAGCAGTAGGTTCCCTTCTCGGTGATAAAGGAGGTCTTCTCCCGGTCCTCCTCAGCCATCTCTATCTGGTGGTACCCCTTGAAAGCATCCAGAAAACACAAGACATCAAAACCCACAGTAGAATCTACTAACCTGTCGATTCTCGGCAGAGGAAAACAGTCCTTTGGGCAGGCTTTGTTGAGATCCATGAAGTCCACGCACATCCTCCAGGTCCGGTCCTCCTTCTTAACCAATACCGGGTTGGCCAACCAGGTCGGGTAGTAGACCTCCAGGATGATCTTGGACTCCAGCAGTTTTCCGACTTCCTTCTTGATCACCTCGTTCCTTTCTGGGGCGAAGCTCCTCTTTTTCTGCTTCACTGGCTTGAAGCGGGGATCTATGTTGAGGTGGTGGACCGCCAGGCCGGTCGGAATCCCTGGCATGTCTTCAACCGTCCAAGCGAATACCTGGGAGTATTCCCTTCACAGGGCCTTCAAGCCCTCCTTCTCCTCGGGGGGCAGCAGTGCGCCTATGCGGATCACCTGGTCTGGCCGGTCTTCCCTCAAGGGGAACTCCTCGATTTCGTCCTGGGTGCCCGGCTGCCGGGTTTCGTCCCCCGGGATGTAAGGCTCCAGACAGGTCGTCTGGGCGACCACCTTCTCCCGTCCCTGAAGTATGGCCAAGTAGCAAGCCCTGGCCACCTCGGGGTCACCACGCACCTCGACTATCCCTCCCGGAGTGGGGAATTTGACGCTGAGGTGGAGCGTCGAGGGGATAGCTCGGAGAGCGTTCAAGGCAGGCCGACCCAGGAACACGTTGTACGGGGACTGTTGCTTGACCACCACGAAGTTGACAGGGATGGTCCGGCATTTGGGTGCCTACCCTACCGTGACCATCAGGGTGATCATTCCCTCCGGGTTGATAGGGGGTCCGGTGAAGCCCATCTGTGGTGTCCGAACTGGGGTAAGCTGCCCGTCCTCCAAGCCGAGCTCCTTGAACACCCGATAGAACATAATGTCAACCGCACTCCCTTGGTCGACATACACCTTCTTCACGCGGTAATTGTTGGTGACAATATCTATCACGATGGCCTCATGGTTCCCGGACACTAGGGGAACTGTGTCCCTTGGTCCGAAAGTGATCTCCTCGTCCATGCGCAGCCGCTTCAGGGAGTCATCCCCCTCGGGGGGAGGTCGCCTGTTCATCCGAGCTATGTGACTGTCTCCCCCGGTGGGGCCCCCGGCGATGGTGTTTATCACTCCAGCTAGGTTTTGGGTGTCCTGGTCGGGGGAGCGGCCCCCGGGCGCGTCACGCCGCCCAGGGTGGTCGAGCCGTTGGCCTTCACCCCAATCTCCGCGGTAGGTGCGTTCGGGCTCCTGGCCGGGGCAACCTTGCCGCACGAATCGCCCCAAGAACCCTCGCTGGATCAGGTCTTCGATCTCCTTCCGCAGGGCCCAGCACCCCTCCGTGTCGTGTCCGACGTCGCGGTGGAAGGCACAGTACCGGTCCTGGTTCCTCTTATTCCGAGGTGTCCCCATCTTGGGCGGCGGACCTCCCAGGCCTTCCGCCTCCATGACAGCTAGGATCTAAGCCCTAGGCCGAGTCAAAGGGGTGTAGCCTTTCTCCGGGAGTGGCGGCGGAGAGGGGGGCTTTCTCCCTCGAGAGCCGGTCAAAAAAGTTTTTCTTGGCCGGAACATCCTTGCCCTCTAGGGGGTTTCCCCGCCCCTTCCGATCTCCGAGCTCCCGATCTGACTCTTTCTTCAGACGCCCTGCCTCCTCCGCATTAGCGGCCGCGTGCGCCCTGGTCAGGAGCTCCTCCAGATTTTTAGGTGGCTTCTCGGCCAGCTTGTAGAAGAGCTCCTCTACCCTGAGCCCATTCACGAAGGCGGCCATGACCATCTTTTCGTCTTTGTCCCGGACTTGTAGACTCTCCGCGTTGAAGCAGGTCATGAAATTCCTCAGGGACTCGTCAGGCCTCTGCCTGATAGCCATTAGGTGGGTCGCATTCTTCGAGTAAGTTTTCGAGGAAACGAACTGGGCTACGAACTGTCTGGCCAGTTCAGGGAAACTCCGGATAGACCCTGGTGCCAAGCCTTGGAACCAGAGCCGAGCCTTCCCCTTTAAGAACATGGGGAAGGTCTTGCAGCGGATCTCATCCGCGGCTGTTTGCAGACGCATGTGCGTCAGGAAGATCGAGAGGTGGTCTTCCGGGTCGGTGGAAGCATCATACATCTCAATGCTCGGGATCTTGAATCTCCGGGGTAGGGGGTAATCCTCTATCTCCCGGGGGAAGGGCGAGGTGGAGTAGTTGTCCTCGTACAACTACGGCCGCAAGATTTGCTCGAGCTCGTCTTGGACAGGTTTCCATGGGAGGTCGCGCGGCCGGCTCTTGACAGACCGAGCAGGGGAACGCTCGAGCCCATTCCGCGTGGGTTTCCATGGGGAGGGGTCTCTTGGACGGCTCCCCGCGGACCCGTCGCGGGAATATCTCTCGCTGTCCCCGACCACCGAGACTCGGGGGCGAGGTGGGGTCCGTGGCCGTTTCCTTCTGGGAGGTTGATCCCGCGACTCATCCTCGGAGGGGACGAGCTGGGGCTCCTTTCCCTTGTCCCTCGCCTTGGAGGTCTGCGGGCCTCCAACCTCCTCCCCCTCATTCGTCTGCCGGATTATGTCTTCCAGCATGGGGAGGTTCTCCGTCACGAACTGGAAGATCTGCTGCCTCCTCTCTCCTGAAAGGGTTGAGCCCCCGGCGTCCCGGGCCGCCTCAGCCTCCATTCGCTGGGATCCCTCACCGCCTCCAGGGCCGATGCTCTCTATCGTTCGCTTGGATCGCGTTCTTGCCATCAACACAATCTTGATTACCTTACGGTTCCCACAGACGGTGCCAACTGAAGAAGCGCTGAGCTTCCCCGGACCGAGCCGACCTGACGAGCTCGGCGTGCTGATGGAAGAGCTGGTTTCAGGCCTGCAAAACAAACAACAGGTTGATCTCACAAGGGGGCCCCGAGGTTGTCCCTGAGGGCACTCCGACGATCAAGTTAGTTTTCCGGTGGATGAGGTTCACGGGAAGTAAAACAGTCGGAAGTTACTGGCGAGTAGTGAGCGTACCTTGTGTGAGTAGTGTGCGTTACCATTTATACTTTCTTGGGAGTCTGACCTCCGTACGTTTCGGGACTTGCCCGGTACAGCCCTTATCTCGCGCTGAGGGGTGTAGACACCAAATTTTTGCCAAATTTTTGTCAAATTTAATGTTTTCTTGAATATTTCTATTTGATAAGTCATTTATTTTTCTGCATTTTTAAGTATATTTTGTAGATTTATCTTTAAAAAAAAAGAGAAAAGAGGAAAAGTCCAAAAAAAAAATTTAATAAATTTAATAAATAAATTTAAAAAAAATCAATCAAATCAAAATCAAATTATTACTAAACTTACACATTTTCATCATTTTCTCTACCAAAACCCCTATTAACCCATTCTACACTCAACTCCCACGGGCTTTTCTTTTCATTTTGGCAGAAGCCATCATTTTGAAGGAAACCAAACCCATTTGACTCCTTCTTGGCCATAAGTTTTTGGCTCTGCCAACACTCAACATTTTGCAGAGGAGAAAACACACACAAAAAGCTACTTTGGGCTAAAAAAAATTTCCTCACTCGGCTCTCTCTGGAAATCAGACAAGCAAAGAAAGAAAAAAAACTAACTCCCCATTCCCTCACGCTGCTCACGGCTCCTTCTACCCATTTTTCTTCCACAACCTCAAACACAGAAGGAAAGGCAGTGGTGGGTTAAGCTATTGGAGTTTGCCGATTTCATCAAATTCCTAGGCAAAGGACTACAACCTTCATTGAGGTACATTTTGTTTTCTTTTTTCCAGTTTTTCTTTTCCTTAATTAATTAGATTAAATGCATGTTTTGATGCTTATTTGTCCTTTGCTTTCGTTTGTTGTTGTGGCTCCTGATGTTGTTAAAGTTTTGGGGTGAGCCATGCATGCAATTAAGGGAAAAAGAAATGGGCCTGTGAATGCATGTTAAATGTTTGTGAAAATGACAAAACGAAAATGAATTAAACTAGTGAACATTTTGTGCTTGTTTCTGGTGAAACAGACGGTTGTAGTTAGTATGTGGTTTGAAAAAGTGTTGAATTATTTAAGTATTTTGAAGTTTTGAGCCTTTAAAGGCATTGAAATATTTTCTTTATTTTTGGGGTTGTTTTGACTTAATGCATCATTTTGTTGTTGTTTACTTGTCAAACTAAGATTATAGTTGTATTGTAGAAGTTATCAGGAGGGTTTTGGCATAATTTTTATGATTTTTAGTGAACATTATAGTGTTTTAAAAAAATAAAAATCTGGACTGACTTTTTGCTTTTTGGCCACTTTTGGGTCATTTTCTGTAAAAACTAAGTTCAAAAATGGAACCTACGCGAAAAATCGAGTGAAAGGGTGTATTTTGAGAAATTTTGGTGACCGGAGAGGTCGCCGGCGACCGCCGCCGCCGGCGGTGGCGCCACCGGCGTCCGCCATGGCCGCCAGCTGAAGCTTCCTCAGCTGGCCGAAGAAGAAGGAAAAAGAAACGGCTGAAGGTGGAGGAGGAAGAAAGAAAGAGAAGAAAAAAAAAAAGAAGAAAAGAAAGGAAAGAAAAGGAGAAAAACAAATGATTTGGGCTAATGTTTTATTTCGGTTGGGCCAAGAGTTAGTTTTGGTTGGGTTTTGAAAATGAGTTTTGGTTTCTTTCTTTTGGGTTTCCGTTGGGCTTGAGTGATAAAAAGGCGGGCTGGCCTGCTCGTTTCTTTTGGATTTCGGCTGGGCTTAGGTAGCATCCGGCCTAAATAAATAAAAATGACGGCCCGATGGCCTTTTTCTCCCAAATCAGAAACCAAAATTTGCACCTTAGCCCCTGATCTTTGGAGTGGTTTTACTGTGGCCCAGAACATATTAATTTCCTTTCACCTAGGTCCTTAAATTAATTGCATTTTGGTCCCTGAATTTTGTCTTTCATTTAATTTTGACCCCTAAACTTTGGAAAATATAATTTTTGTCCCCAAAAGTTTTTCAATTTTTGCAATTCAGTCCCTGATGAATTTTGACTCTCTTTATTATGATTGTTTCTTTTCTTTAATAGCTACTTATGCTACTTTTGAATATACTTAACTTGTAATTTTTAGATTTGCTTAAATTTTTTTACGTCTGACATATTAGTGTGAATTTAGTGCTTGTATTATTATTTTCTTTTTCAATTAAATTGGTGCCATGATCCTTTTGTTCATTGTGAGTATAATTAGGACAATTTGACTCCATTTAGTCACCACTTCAAACGGGAGGTACTCCTATTTTATTATTTCAATGTCAATTACGTGCTCTTATGTGCTCCTATGTGTTCCTATGTGTTTATATATCTTTATATGATTTATTTATTTGATTTAAATATTTATTCAAATTTTCTTATATATGTTTTAGTTAGTTTTTATAATGATTCGAGAGGTATTTAAATACCTCAAAAATGTAATAGATAGGATAATTAGATTTGTTTTATTATATTTTTTCCTCCTAGATTGTAGTTAGGCGCTCCCCGATGTAATAGATAGGTTGCGTGTTTATGTGGCTTATGTGTTAAGTGTTTTATCCGCTTTTCTTAGGATTTTGGCATCTAGATATTATGCTTACGTGTTATGTGTTACGTGCTCTTATGTGTTTATTTGTTTTAATTTATGCTTTATTTGCTTCACTATGAATTGTTAATGCATAACGCCACCACACTAGTCCAACGCTAGTTGTGGCTTTTTTTTTCGCTTACTTGCTAGTCCAACGCTAGTAAGGATTTTTAGAAATGGGCTAGTCCAACGCTAGACCCTTTAGGCCGTCTTGCGTTAGATTCATCTTTGTGTGCTATTCACTACATCTTCATGCATATTTTTTTTTAGGATCTTTTCTCATTTGCATGATATTCCCTATTATATTATCCCCTACCCTCTATAGGCGCTAATCATGTCATTTAGAATTGCATCTCATTTAAACTAGTTCATTTGCTTGTTCATGTTAGGATAATTGTTTTTCAAACATGGAAAATAGGTAATTATAGATTTTTAGTTTAAATACCCCATTGATCCCTGTATAAGAAAATTATGTCACGAGTTTTTGCCTCCCATACCCTTTATGTTGCATTCCCTTTTTCTTTGATCACTTATATATGTATATAATTTAATTTCTTTTCTTTTATTTTAATTTCATCATTCGCATACTCGTGACACTTTCAAGGAATCATTTTGGCCTTCGCAATTAATGCAATTGGTTCAATTAAACCCTTGAATGAACATTGTGTCCCTTTCGATATTTTTATAAATTTAGATTTGCATCCATGTAGGAAACATCCAAACGTGATAAAATTAAGGGTTAGATTAGGAAAATTTTGACTAAACCTCGCAACTAGTTTAGACTAGGTTGAAAGGGTGCCTTAGGTTTGAGTCAATTAAACCTTTGCCTTCCCTTTCTTCAACCGTGACTCCCGAACCTATTTTTTCTTGTTTTCAAAGACCTGGAGTTGTTAAAAAGGGTTTTGATTTATTTTATTTTTGTCAAAAATATTTTTTTGGGTGACTTGGTACACCAAAACTCCATACCAAGTGGCGACTCCTATTTTTTCTTAAAAACCCTTTTAGACTAAATTTTGGGACCCAAATTGTCGCATTCTTTTTAACTCCCATTCTAGGTCCTTTTTCATTTATTAATAAATCACATCTTTCTTTATAAACACTTTCTTTTCCATCGCGAAAAATGGGGCGCGACAACTTGGCGACTCCACTGGGGACGTTAGAGAGTCCAAGCACTTGGCTTAGTCGTCTTTTCTCTTTTTAACCCTTATATTTATCATATTTGGATGTTTTAGGTTGCACTTTTCTTTTTTAGGATGTTTTGCATTTCACACTCGTAATCGTTCCTCGTCTTACGTGTATGTGATGAATGGCTTATTTATTTATTTTTTTTTTTTTCGTATCGCGCTTTGCATTTGGGTGGGGGAAAATATCACCGTAGAGCCTCCACACGTGTTTTAATTATAATCTCTCCCCTCAAAAGGAAGCACTTCATACGTGCATGCATTATTTTTACCCTATTTTTATTTTTCTCATGGGCGCCATCCCACATCTCCTTGTAGGATTAGGATCGATTTCCTTAGGTATGCGAATGGTGTGCTCTGCGCCCATAGCGATGCCTAAGGGATCACTCAAGCCACCGACCAAAGGTTTTGGGATTGATGACCCTTAACTTTTTGGTCTGAAGGGTTGGGAGCCTGAAACCTTATCGAGTCTAGATGCATTAGTAAGCCAAACCTCATGCATCCATATTAGAAATTACCTAGGATAGAGTCAACCTATCCAATTAGGAACACTAAGCACGAGGGGAGGGATTTCACCCCTCTTTCTTTGCTTTATTTACTTTTCATTCTTGTATCATTTATTGTCACAATGTGTTATATGTTACTTGTTGAACTAACCTCTCCTTGTTTTCCCTTTTTCTGCATACACAAACTTTAGAAATAAGAGTCCTAACATGGTACTCGTTTAAGATAAGACCGCCTCTTATATCAAGCATGTTTAAATTTTAGTGAATTGCATATGCATATGTATTGCACATCATTTTAGGCTTACCCCGACATTTAAAGGGGGCACTTTTAGGTCACATTTCAATTATTTCATTGTATATTTAATATGCTTTAATAAATTGTCATCATGCATTAACTATAGAGGGAATGCCGCATAGGGAATCCCACGGTAGGAATAAGTCACCTTTTGTCTCCGATATGTAATCCAATGAGACTTGCATGTTTATGATTTTGTATTGCCTAAGGGGTAAAATCCCGAGGTAAGGTACTAAGAGTGAAATTCTTCCTCAGATGGCTCCGTGCAGAATGCTGAACCAGATACCTCGGGAACTAACAGACTGGAAAAATAATATGACACATGAGGTGAAAAGACTGTTCAAATATATGGGACATTTACCGAGTCTTCTAAGCATAACCCCAAATGTTGCAATCATTCAAGCTCTACTTGGGTACTGGGATCCAGAAGGTTCTATTTTTCGATTCGGTGAATGTGAACTAACACCAACTTTAGAAGAAATAGAAGGATTATTGCAGATACCTGGGAAAGGTTATCCTATGATATATCCAACTAATGGAACAAGGGAACAGTTTTATAGGTTTTTGGGATTAAGGCAGGCTAGTATGAACCAACATCCGGATGCGAGATCGTGCCCATTAGAGTTTTTGTATGAACGATTTGGAGAAAGAGGGTCCTATGAACAGTACCGAACCGATTTTTTTATAAGTAAGGAGCAATGGGTAGAGAAGCGAGTGCAAGCGTTTGGATTAGCTTTGATCAATCTGTTGTTGTTCCCGCAAAAGCATGGAAAGATCACATTTTTCACTATCAACATGGTTCAGAGCCTATTTTCAGGGATTAATGGAATGACCCCTACCTTGGTGCCTGTAATCATTGCCGACATCTTCACGGCCGCTACTGAATGTCAAAAGAAGAGAGGTTTCTTTTATGGGTCAAATTTGATACTCCAAATGTGGGCAATGGAGCATCTAGCGAAGAGAACACTCAATCCTTTGGGATCTTGTCTCCCCGCAGAGAATTGGATCGAATCACACCGAGAAAGGGTCAAAAAGTATTATCGAATTGCATCTCCGACTCAGTTTATTCAAGAGTTCGATAACTTGGCACCTGAGAAAATACAATGGGTTTTGGATTGGACAAAAGTTAGGGATCCGGTTTTCACGATTACCCAACACAATTTTATCCCCCTAGCAGGCACCAATGGATTGGTCGCATATGTTCCGCAACGAGTCATGAGGTAATTCGGGTATCCGCAAAGAATTCTGATGATACAAGGGATTGAAAATATCAGACTCAACACAGTTGCTGAAAGTCGGAGCATGGTATTGGAAGCTTGGGGAAATCTTCTTAGTTTAGAGAACTTGCACTTGGATCAAGTCAACAAATTGGAACCTACCTAAGATCATTTCAGAATATAATGAGTGGATCAAACTGACAGTCGAACAAGCAAGAGAGAAAGCACAGTCTGCTTCCGCTAGCCCTGAAAAATAGATAGATAAGCTAAAGAAAGAGCTCGAGGATTATCAATTACAACTTATAGTGGCCGACCATGCCCTGGAAGACGCCCGAGCACAATTAAAGTGGGAGACAAGAAAAACTGAAAAGTTGGAGAGAGCCCTGGATGTATTTGACAAAATTCGAGAAGGAATTCGGAAGCTTAGTATAGGAAGTTCTAGGGAGTCTCAACGTACTAGTTTAGCAAGGCATGAGGATTTTGTAAAAATGGTCAGTCGAACCATCAATGAAGCTGTACAAAATGATTGAACTTGTCAGTGGTTAATGAGAATTTCTACTTGAATTTCTACATTCACTTACAGGTTTGAAATTGGGATTTTACCCCGAAGGTGTTGCATCATATTAGGCCGACCCTTGGCACAAAAAGGGCTCCCCCATAGGACATGCATCCGAATTATTTAAATATCTACTAACTCATGTTTTTTTTCCTTTCTTTTTTCTTTTTTCTTGAATAAATTACAGCAATTTGACAGAAAATCCAACCCTAAATGAGTTTCTTTTCTCCACTATCAAGTATTTTTCACAATAGCTACCCGAAGAAGCCCCATCATCACCAGGTCCCGAAATAAAGCCTTGAGACAGTCTGTAAACATGAGTTCAGTACCAGAAACTTCGGAAAGATCTGCTATAGTAACATCGCCGGACATCACAGCATTGGGAGCTCAATTAAGTGAGGTACTTGGTAAGTTCAATGAGTTAAGCGCTGAAATGGCCGCACAAAGGCGTGTAATTGATCAGCTGGTCGCCAGCAACAATGGTGGTGGTGTCCCAAACGACCAAGAACCTATCGATAATCACCCACCTGCACAAGACTATCAACCACCCCACACATCCACTACCCAAACACCTTTCCCTCCTCCTTTCGCTAACCCTCTTGAAAATACTTTTACCCGACTAAATTCAGACTTTTCCTATATGCATCCGAATTATGTATTGATAAACCCAACCAGTAGCCAAATCCCTCAAATCCATCCACAAACCAATCTGAATATCCCCCCCAACCCTCAGGGACCCCACCACCATACTGCAGAGCCTTTTGTACTGGATACTGCATCTCAAGGGAAGGCGGCGATAGAAGAACAGCCTATACCCATTGACAAAGATCTGTTAAGAAGGTTGGATCGATTCGATGATTTTATGAGAAAGAATCAAGGATTGAGCAGGCATGGTGGGTTAGATTACGATGAATTGTGTCTTTTCCCGGATATTCAGCTACCGTTGGGATTCAAAACCCCTAAATTCAGCAAGTATGATGGAACTGGAAATCCAAAGACGCACCTCAAGATGTTTGCCAACAAATTAGGTAAACCTGTGGATGATGAGAATTTGCCTATGCGTCTATTTCCGGAAAGTTTGGAGGGAGATGCTCTAGATTGGTATTCAAATTTGAAGTCTGGAGAAGTCAAGACCTGGTTGGATCTATCAACTGCTTTTGTGAAGCAGTATGAATTTAACTGTGAGTTGGCGCCAACACGAACCACACTGGAGGGTACGAAAAGAAAGCCGTCGGAAGATCACAAGACCTACGCAAAACGGTGGAGAAAGTTAGCTGCCAAAGTGGAGCCTCCTATGACTGAGGAGGAGATTGTTCGTACTTTCATCAAGGCTCACGATCCACCCTATTTTGAAGAGATCTTCCGCATGACTGGAAGTCCATTTGCTGCTATCATTAACAAATTGAAAGAGTATGATGAATTTGTCAAAGTAGGGAAGATTGTTAATGTGTCTGCATTAAAGTTGCAATTAGATGCTCTACAAAATCAAAGCAGCAATGGGAAAAAGCCCCCATTCAAGAAGAAAGAAGGAGAAACTGCTTTTATATGGGATCGGGGCCCGTCTTTCAGACCCAGAATCCGAAACCATCCCACCTATTCTGTTCCTTACCCATATTATCCTAACCCTCAACCAGTCTACCACACTACTACCCAATTCCATCATTCCCGACCTAATCATTTGAATACCTCGCCCTTACCTCCAACTCCACAACCCGTATTTCAAAATCACACTCGCCCCATTTACCATCCCAGACCAACCCTGCAAAATAATAACCCTCCTCAAAATCCTTTTCAAACCAATGGAGTTCAAACTCAGAAACAATTTTGAACTTTCACCAATTTGGGTCGACCAATTGATCAACTGTATGAGCAGTTAAAAGCAGCTGGGAAGATTGGCACCGTTCCTCCTAAACTTTATCCCAAAGGCATTCCTCCAGGTTATGATGCGCAGGCAAGTTGTGCTTATCATTCTGGAAGTCCAGGTCATACCACGGGCAATTGTTGGGCTTTAAAACATAAGATTCAGGACATGATTGACTCTGGAGACATCCTTCTCAGAAGAAAGGGAGAGCAAGGACCGAATGTTAGTAAGAATCCCTTACCTGAGCATGGGAGCACTGTGGGGGTTATCATCGCTGATGAAGATTTTGTCGACCCCAGTCAGTACATTGTAGATGAAACTGAAGTGTTTGGCGTGATAGAGACTGACCATGTGGAGATGAGGAAACTGCTGTCTGTTGAAGAGTCCATAACTAAGGATAGTGCTGAGGAAAAGTTAAAATCTTTTGTGTTTGAGAAAGAGGAGCCGTTTATGGTAGAAGGAGGGCCTTCCGAGGTTGACAATTCTGAGGTTCCTTTTATTTTCGATCTTCCATCTTTTGAATGGGATATATCAGAGTCTGCCATTCTCGAATTTCCAGAGCAAATGCCTGTCAATAACTTGCAAGAGGTACCATGGAACTACGAGGAGCCCAGTCTGTTAATTGGGGGTAAAGATTGTGTGAAGGAAGATATATCAACTATTACTAGATCTGGGAAAATTGTGGGAAACTCCGATATTGATGTTCAATCTAGGGCCAAGGTTAAATCTCCGACACCCAAGCCTCGTGTGTCTGAAAATGAAGCTGTAGATTTTCTGAAGATGCTGAAAAGAAGCGAGTACAAAATAGTGGAGCTGTTGGATAGGATGCCTGCTCAGATTTCTTTTCTGAATCTTCTCTTGACTTCCGAGCTGCACAGAGAAGCATTGCTCAAAATTCTGAACGAAGCTCAAGTCCCTAAAGATATTCCGGTGGATAAATTTTCTAACATTGTGGGGAATGTACTTGCTGCTAATCATATTACCTTCTCCGATGATGATCTGACTGCAGAAGGGATCGGGCATAACAAAGCTTTGTATATATCGGTCCGTTGCAATGGAAAGCTGTTGCCGAGGGTTTTAGTGGATAATGGGTCAGCGTTGAATATCTGTCCATGGAACACTCTCACCAAGCTTGGATTTCTTGATATTAAACTCCGTCTATCTGCAACTGTGGTTCGAGGATTTGATGGTTCAAGGAGGAAATCTATGGGTGAAGCAGATCTGGTATTGGAGATAGGCCCTGCTCAATTCCAAGTTACTTGCCAAGTCATGGACTTCTCCAGTGTTTACAACATTTTACTTGGAAGACCTTGGATACATGCTTCCAATTCAGTGCCATCTTCTCTGCATCAAATGTTGAGGTTTATTGCGAATGATCAACTCATTACAGTGTTTGCTGAGGATGACTGTACCATGATCGTTGATGCAAAATTCAATGGTGAAAATAGAAAAAGGACTCCAACTTCATCTCATCTAGGGGTGCAGAGAATTCGAGTAGCTTGAATCGAGCTCGCGAGTAGCTTGATTAGCTACTCGACTCGATCTCGAGCAAATTCGAGTTCGAGTCAATCTCGATCTACTTGCTACAGTAAACGAGCCGATCTCGAGTATTTAGTAGTAAGAAATTCGAGCTCGTCGAGTAGCTCGAGCTCGGTAGCACATATATATTGTATTTTAGTTTATATATCAATTTACTCTTTTAGGTTTGTTAGCTAGAATATTTACGGGCTTAAGCAGTTCCCTGCCAATTAGTAAACAAGGGTGAATAAGTAATTTTGGCTCGAGAATTCTGATGAAATGAGGAAAACTAAAAACGAAAAATGAAAAAGCTTCCGTCGAATTCATCCTTCACAGTTCTTTCTTCTTCTTCGTTCGGCCGTTCCTTCCTCTTCAGCCTTGACTCTCAAATCTCAATCTCTTATTCTTTGGCTCATCTTCTCAACTGTCACAACTCACAACTCACAAGGCAGTCGATCACCTAAAGCTTTAAACACTAAGCAATTTAGCTCAACATGGAGTAGGTAACAGCGTGAGCACTGAGCAGCCGACCTTTGAGTGGGGGTTTCAAATCAAATCAAAACCCATCAATTTCAACAGCTGTATTTGACAAATTAAGGTACTTATTGTGCATTTGTGTAGTAAATATGTGCATTATGAGGTTAAATTTTATAAATGTAATATTAATTTTTAATCTCCAAACCCTAACCAAAAAAATTGGGGGCTGCAGCCTGCGATTCAATATATTCAATTTCCGTATCCCATTCCTTCTCCATTGCTGTACTGGAATTTTGAGGAAATGGAGGGCAGCTCGATTCCTTCAACAAGTGATTCGGTGGTTGGCGCGACAGCTCTAAGAATTGGTAAGTTTCTTGACGTTGGCTCTAACATGTTTATGGGTTTTTCTTTGATGTGAAAATGCACTGATTTCAGAAATTTGCTTTAAGTTGGATTATTAAGTGTTAATTAGCTAGTATATTAATGAGATTAATGAGAATATTCAGTTATGTTCTCTGGAGAATAATTTTGATGCTAGCTTATGCAGTTTTATTTAACGCAACAAATTATTCTAGGAATCAGAAAATTTAAAGACAATCTTCAATACTGTTGGTAGTTCTTTTTTGTCACCCTTTTTCTTTCTTGTTTGCCACGAAGGTTGTTCATTTGAAATATGCCTAAAAGTGCTGTACAAGGACTGATAATATAGCCATTTTGACAGAGTATAATGCGTATGTTAAATCCAATTTCCAGCAATATGCAACTAATTTTTGTTGCCTTTCCCAAAGAGCTTGGTTCTTCAAGTTCTGTTTTTGAACTAACTTCACATGTATTTTGGGTGCATTGACCATTACAATTCATACTTAAGGTGTACATTAAAAACTGAATGATGAAATTGGGAAGCATAATTACCTCTATATGTCATTTTTCTCAAGTATTGATGAATTTAGATATGCATACTCAATTTTTTCAGGCTCAGCAGTCTTTCTTTATTCAAACTGTTCTGAGTCTCTAGGTTAGTTTTAAAAAAAAAATAAAAATTGGCAGCTCTCAGTCAAATTTAACATTTGAGTTCTTTCAATCTGACTTCTTTTTTATTTGTAGAATTATGGGTAATGTGCTTTTAGAATTCAATCTATTCCGCTTTTGAGTGTTAACACTCACATCAAATTAAATTTTATTTTCTGTTGTGAGTAATTGCTTCGAGACTGATACAGATTTGATTGATGTTCTCTTTCCCTTTATTATGAATTGTTTTATACTTCATACTTTCATAGCATTGAAATATTATATAAGATCTGAATTTGCTATGAACTTTAGCCCTGATATGAATGTTTTTTGGAAGCTGTTTTCCAGATTTGGGTGCTTGTGTGTCATTTTCAATTTTTTTGGGAGTTGTTTTCCAGATTTGGGTGCTTGTGTGTCATTTTCTATTTTTTCTAATGTTTGTTTGATTTGAATTTAATGTTCCGTGTCAAAATATTTGAAGTGGAACTCATTTTAATGTAAATGTTTGTTTTTCTATTAAAGGCATGTCTATTAGTCCTCCCGAGGTTTCTTCAATACCACATGTGTCTGGGACCGATTCATCCACACCAGTCATGATTGACAGCCCAATATTTGTAAGCCGTGATGCCTGTGATCCCACACAAGAGGGTGGTCAAACACAACAAGAGGGAACCGAAGACACCAATAGGCAGCAAGGAGATGAAGCTGAAGATGATGGTAAATTTCGAGTGCCTAAAAGGAATAAAACTTCTGAGGCATGGGAAGACTTTGATGATTTGGAAGAAAATGGCATATATTATGCCATTTGTAAACATTGTAGTAAGAAACTGAATCGGGGAAAAACTAAACAAACCAGCAGCATGTGGAGGCATCGAGAAAACTGTTCCGTTAGAAAAGCCAAGCTTAGAAAGGCCGAGCAGCAAACAAAGATAAACTTTCAGCAAGCGAATGAGCGTTTTCCAACTGTACCATCATTGCACACTGGCAAATTCGATATGGAAGCAATGAGAGAGGCTGCTGCACATTGGATCTTGATGCACGAGCATCCTTTCACAATTTTGGAGGAAGAGGGTTTCAACATAATGATGAAACGCGGCTGGCCGGAGTGGCAAAAGATTTCACGAATGACAGCTAAAAAAGATTGTACACAGGTGTACGAGATAGAGAAAAAGAAGTTGAAGAACTTGTTGAGGCATGTACAAAAAGTTAGCTTGACCACCGATATGTGGAAATCAAAGAATCAAAAAATTGAATACATGGTGGTGACCGGACATTGGATTGATGGAAATTGGAAGCTTCAGAAGAGAGTGTTAAATTTTGTTCATATTCGACCACCACGTCGAGGAGTTCAGATTTCGGATGCAGTTTTCAAGTGTGCAAAGGAATGGGGAATTGAGGGAAAAATTCACACTATTTCTGTGGACAATGCCTCGAACAATGATGTGGCCGTGAGATTGTTGAAAGATGATTTCGGGAGATGCAAGAAGCTTTTGGGTGGAGGAAAACTGTTTCATGTTCGTTGTTGCGCCCATATCTTGAACCTTATGGTTCAAGATGGCTTGAAGGATATAGTAGATATTTGTGAAAATATTCGAGATAGTGTGGATTTTGTGAACAAGTCTGATGGTAGGTCATTGCTATTTGCAGAAATTGCTCAACACCTACAAATTCCTGGAAAAAAATTACTCCATGATTGTAGGACGAGATGGAATTCAACATATGAAATGTTGAATTGTGCTATAAAATATAAAGAGGTCTTTCCTCGTTTTCAAGTGCGAGAGCCCCTTTATGAGTCTTGTCCATCTTCAGAGGATTGGGAGAAGGTTGAGAAAGTTTGCACCATTTTAGAGAAGTTCTACACAGCCACACACATAATTTCGGGGAGTGAGTATCCAACTAGCAATCTATTCCTCCCTGAGATTCTAAAGGTGAAGAAACTCTTGGATGCACGAGTGAATGATGAAGATGATTTTGTCCGGGGTATGATTACAAGAATGAAGCTCAAGTTTGACAAATACTGGAAAGAGTGTAATTTATTGATGTCCATTGCAGCTATCTTGGATCCCAGACAGAAAATGCGAGCAATAGAGTTTGCCTTCCCTAAGATGTATTCCACATATGAAGCTCAACAGAATATCACATATGTTCGAAAAGCCATCTTTGAGCTTTATGACGAGTATGTTGCTATGGCTACAAGTGGAAGTGCAGGGACAGGTTGTTCATTAAATCCTGCATCCGAAATAGTGTGTCCACCTCGAGCAAGTGCTGACTATTGGGATGATTTGGATGAGTATTGTGGTGAACTCGAATCCGATGAACCCCATAAGAGCGAGTTGGTGGATTACCTAGACAAGCCTCGCCAACTTCCTGGACAAAATCCGAAGGATTTCAACTGTTTAGATTGGTGGAAAATCAACCGATCAGCATACCCGGTACTCTCTCAGTTAGCGGCTGATGTATTGGCCATTCCTATCACTACCGTCGCATCTGAGGCCACCTTTAGTGCTGGAACTAGGGTGATTGATTCATACCGTGCTTCACTTGCTCCGGAGACAGTCCAGACGTTAATGTGTGCAGGCGATTGGTGTAGAAATTTACACGGGGTCAAAAAGAAATTGAAAGTAAGTTATATCTATATGAATTTGTTATTGCAGAGATAAATTAGTAGTTATTAGTTTGTTTATTGATTTTAAAGTATTTCATTATTTGCATTTCCACTACCTAAATGCAGCCACAGAAAGCTCTCAAAGAATATGAGCTGCCCAATGCTTGAAGTTGTGTAAGGAGCAACTACTTTGCTGAAAATCAGGTCCATCTTTTTGTGAATTCTCATTTTCTTATTCTTAATTTGCCATAAGTTGTGTTCAAATTTTAAATTTAAATTGTACATAAGTTGGTTGATTTGTCATTTGTGTATGGCTAGGTGTTGTAGATTGTACACCGAAGTTTGAAGATGCATAAGGAGCAAACAAGCTGTTTCATTTACCAGATTACAAACAAGAGCTTCTAAATGCTCATTAGACTCCAGAAAATTTCCCTAAGTTTTTCCTTTCAATTGGCTGCAGCACTCCTTTTTGTATTTTCGTGAAATTCTGATGAGGTTGAGAACAGGTTGTTGCTTATGTTTAATGCTGAAATGTTAATGTGGATCATGGCCACTTAGTTTCTGCATGCGTATGGTGTTTCTTTAGCCATTGTGTTTGTCCTTTTGTTTGTCATTGGTTTCTCGTTTGAGGAATTTCTGAATTTTGGAAGCTAGAATTCTTGAATCTTGAATCCTTATTAATCTTATTGATTTCCCTGGGCATGTTGATTTCTCATCTGAGGTGACTGCTGCCCTTCGTATTACTGATGGTGCATTGGTGCTGGTTGATTGTATTAAGGGTATGTGTTCGTGTGTTTTCTTTGCTTTTGGCCGTGTGTTTTCTGGAAAAATTGCCACTGGCATGAAGATTCCCCTGGGCATGTTGATTTCTCATCTGAGGTGACTGCTGCCCTTCGTATTACTGATGGTACATTTGGTGGTGGTTGATTGTATTGAGGATGTGTGTGTCTGTGTGTTTTCTTTACTTTTGGCTGTGTGTTTTCTGGAAAAAGTGCCACTGGCATGAAGGTTAGAATCATGGGTCCCAACTATGTTCCGAGAGAGAAAAAGGACTTGTATGTTATAATGTTAAGACTTAAGAATGTCTAAAGAATAGTTATTTGGATGGGTAAGAAACAGGAAATAGTTGAGGATGTGCCATGGGGTAACACAGTTGCTATGGTTGGTTTGGATCAATTCATCACAGTTGCTATGGTTGCTATGGTTGCTGTCTCCCCTGTCGTGCGTGTTGCTGGGCAGAGTGCAGTGGAAGGTTGCATCTGATTCCCCAAGCTTGTTGAAGGTTTGAAACCTCTGCCGAAGGTTGTCTGTACTCTGTATGCAATGGCATGCTTCTAAGTTTTGTCCATGTGGCTCCAAGACTTTAATTAGCTTCTAAGTTTTGTTTCTTTGAATTGCAATTAATCTTGTTCAATTGATATTAATGTACTTTCATTTGAATGATTAGTGCAACTTAGTGTATTGTTTAGTACAAATTAGTAGTGTTGCATTTAAGATACAAAGACTAGATTCTTTAGATTTGCGTAGGAACCAGAATCAATTCGAGCTCATTCGAGCTCATTCGAGCTCGAGTACTCGACTTGATATCGAGCTCGAATGACATGTCGAGCTCGATCAAGTCGAGTTCGAGTCTGCATATGCTTTTATCGAGTCGATCTCGATCTTTGCTTCTCGAGCTTGCTCGAGCTCGAGCTCAAACTCGAGCTCTACTGATCTGGGTCGAGCTCGTGCTCGAGTACCCCACTACTCGAGCTCGACTCGGCTCGATTTCACCCCTAATCTCATCGCGTTGCTGACATCGTCTCCGTGGGAAGGGCATCCAAGGATAAGTTGCCGACTGAATCAGATTTGCCAGAGGCCAGTATTATGATGGCTAGGGAGATGATCCGAGGCGGATATGAAATAGAAAAAGGTCTTGGGCGGGAATTACAAGGAATTTTGGAGTCAATAGAGATCCCGACGCAGAAAGAGACATTTGGATTGGGATTTCATCCGACTGCTAAGGATAGGAGGGACATGCAAGCTCGAAAACAAGCTGAAAAGATGGGCAAGCAAACTGTCTTAAATATCCCACCGCTATATCACACTTTTCCTCATCCATCAGAGATGGTTATGCCAGAAATGAAGAATCCTATGGAGGAGATTCAAGTGGACCTGTCTCAGCTATTTGTCGGGGTTACTTGTGAGGAGACGCCATCAGAGAATGCTGAATTTTTGTCAATTACCGAAGGAGCTATTCAGAATTGGACTGCTGATTATCTTCCCTCTCGAAGGAAATTTCGGTAAATTTAAGGGGATTGTCTTTTGTCTAGATCACATCCAGATAGGACAGTAGTCTGGATCTTTTGTTAAAAGAAATTGCTTTCATCTTTTAAACCTTTATTCTTGTTTCAGTTAATATAACTTGTTTTGTTCAAGAAAATTGCTGAAACGAAAATAAAGGTTTGGGTTAAATATGTCTTTAAATGGCAATCATGTCTGTATATTTATCTTTTTGTGAAGTCTCGATGCATTTTGAATTTAATGAAATGAAAGACTTCTCCAGTATTTGCTATTTGTTTATTACTTATGTTCTATTCTATTTTCAGATGGCCACAAATAAAATCTTTTGACCCTTTGGATGTCACCATTTTGGAATTCGATGGCTGCAATCTCGATATCTCTCATGAACTTGAAATCATGCAATCTGAAATTCAAAGCGGGAGCGATACTGAGGAAGAATTTGAGTCTATTTCAAGGGATTTAAAACAGTATGAAGAGAAACTCAAACCCAACTTAGAAGAAACAGAAATCGTCAACATTGGCACTAAGATGGAGGTTAAAGAAGTTAAAGTCAGCATTCATTTGAATAAGAAACAGAAGGAGGAAATGATTGAATTCTTAATGCTTTTTCAAGATGTGTTTGCATGGTCATACGATGATATGCCAGGGATATCTACAGACATAGTGGTTCACGGGTTGCCAACTGATCCAAATTTTTTACCTGTAAAGCAGAAACCACGTAAATTCAAACCAGAAATGAGTCTCAAGATAAGGAACAAATTGTGAAACAGCTCAATGCTAAGATAATCATGGTGTCTCATTATCCCATTTGCTTGTTCATGTTAGGATAATTGTTTTTCAAACATGGAAAATAGGTGATTATAGCTTTTTAGTTTAAATACCCCATTGATCCATGTATAAGAAAATTATGTCACGAGTTTTTGCCTCCCATACCCTTTATGTTGCATTCCCTTTTTCTTTGATCACTTATATATGTATATAATTTAATTTAATTTCTTTTATTTTAATTTTATCATTCGCATACTCGTGACACTTTCAAGGAATCATTTTGGCCTTCGCAATTAATGCGATTGGTTCAATTAAACCCTTGAATGAACATTGTGTCCCTTTCGATATTTTTATAAATTTAGATTTGCATCCATGTAGGAAACATCCAAACGTGATAAAATTAAGGGTTAGATTAGGAAAATTTTGACTAAACCTCGCAACTAGCTTAGACTAGGTTGAAAGGGTGCCTTAGGTTTGAGTCAATTAAACCTTTGCCTTCTCTTTCTTCAACCGTGACTCCCGAACCTATTTTCTCTTGTTTTCAAAGACCTGGAGTTGTCAAAAAGGGTTTTGATTTATTTTATTTTTGTCAAAAATATTTTTTTGGGTGACTTGGTACACCAAAACTCCGTACCAAGTGGCGACTCCTATTTTTTCTTAAAAACCCTTTTAGACTAAATTTTGGGACCCAAATTGTCGCATTCTTTTTAAGTCCCATTCTAGGTCCTTTTTCATTTATTAATAAATCACATCTTTCTTTATAAACACTTTCTTTTCCATCGCGAAAGATGGGGCGCGACAAGGGGGATTTCCTCCGACCTCTGCGGGATGGTCCCCTGCCCCTTCAGGAGCCCTAGCATCAGCGCGGCCCAGGACGGCTGCCAGGGGCCTGGGGCCGAGGCCCAGCTCGGCCATACCTGGGCTGCCACGTGTCTAGACCCAGGACGGGGCCTCTGCACTACGAAAGAGATTTTGACTTTGTTGTTTTTTTGGGCTAGACCAATAACCAGTATTTTTTCCTCGTTGGCCGATTTTGACTATAGCGAGCTCGTCCGTCTCTTCACTATATGGTAAGTCAATTAAATCACTCTACAGAAAACAACCACAGCTCCAGGGAGAACGATACACCATTGATGACGGGTAAGCTATAGAAATCAAAGATTTAATTCAACGTATCAAAACTAAAAGAGAAAATGTGAATTTCATCCCTTAAAAAAAACATATCAAAACTAAATTCTCATTTATATAAATAAGTTGCATTAAGCTCATTCTTAATGCATCATAAATTGTATGCCGAGACAATATTAATTAAAAAAAATTGAGATTTCAGGCTGAAGGGGAGGACAGCAGAGAGGAGAGCAGCGGAATTGGTAAGGGCAAAGACGGAAGCAAGGGAGGAGAGAGGATGGTCAGAGTGGGCTTATTTGATTTACCTGACAAGTAGGTATCCAGTTTTATTTGTTTTTTGTCGTTTTTATGCAACATTTAATTTGTAACATTAATTGGCCTTATGGAAAGAGTACCAATTATATCACTTGTTTGTAAGTTTAAATCTTACCATTTCTGATGGAGGCATCAGAGCTGTCCAAGGAAATAAAGATGATCCTGTAACGCTTCCAAATGGTCCGATCACTAGAGCTCATACGAAGAAGTTAAAACAGGTATTACAGGCATTGGTGCGAGCTGTTCAAGAGTAAATTGGGACATATAAACACCTAGAAGGAGTTAGGCTTGCGAGGAGTGAGTTCTATACACTTCTCCAAGTTGAGGAAGAAGGAAATTGATGGATCCGCGACTTGACCTATCCAGAGATCCCCTCGTGGATCCTGTTCCAGAGAATATCCGATGCAAATTCTGGCTCTATGTGCAGCGCCGGACTTCATTGGGCCATTTTTGTGTCTTTTCTGTGTTTTCCTTTCGATTTTCAATGTGTTTTATCTAACCTATTATTAGTTTTGTTAATTATCATGAGTTTTTAATAAACCGACCAAGTTTGTGTTGAACTTTAAGCTTAATGGGCCAAAAGTTAATTAGTTAAGTCCATTAATAGATGTAACAAATGACTAAATCTATATCCAATTTGGATTAGTCTAAGTAGGCTAGTTTTGGCTATAAATAACCATTCCTTTACTTGTAACAGTTAGACATTTTTTTATAATAAGATTGAGAGATATTCTCTTGGCTTTCTTGAAAATTTTTTTTGAATAATTTAGGGTTGAACTTAAGTGTTCAATCAGTTTATCAATTAAGAATCGCACTTGATTGTAACGCCTTCCATCAATAATCAAAGGTTCACCAATTTGTTTAGTTGTAGGTTGAGGTTATATCAATAAGTTCGGAGCTACGGGGATTAGAGTGGTCTAAAGGTTTTCTGCTATCCAAATTTAAATACCAATTGTCTAGATCTGGGCTTTTGTGATTACAGGTCTTGACAGGTTCGTATCAATTTCTATGTTGTAAGTGGTACTGTTTG